TGTTCATGTGGTTTTTTTCTTTCCCCCCCCCCCCCCCCGCAAGAAGAAACGTGTGCAGCAGAATGTGCTAACAAGCAATCGATTATTATAAACTACCCCGGCCAGTTGCTGGCTGTTTCAGACGCCGTCCATGTTCTTGCTCTCGCTTCCCTCCCATCACTGTGATTTGGGCTCACTGAGCAAAACCCACGTGGTGGGACAATTTGGGGTGATTTTAAACACAGACCGAATGAGGGGAGACTCCAAAGCAAACAGGAGGGACAAGAGAAATTCCGAGTGAGGTCCCAGGGTGTTTTGCCCAGCCTGGGGGCACTGCCCAGCCCTGGCTTGCCATGCTGCCCTGGGGATGAACTGCAGGACAGCCGGATCGTGCCCGGCGGGCAGGACACATAGCTCAGCCCAGTCATTAACCTGCGGTGAGAAGGTGACGACCGGGCCCTTCTCAGGGCAACAGCAAGGGCAGTGTGGGGACAGCTGTGTTGGGAATAAAGCAGTTTTGATGGCTTAGTGCTGGCGGCGCACATGGGGATGGGATGGGTTAGGATGGGTTGGGTTAGGATGGGTTGGGATGGGATGGGATGGAGGAGCGGTGCTCCGTGCCTGGCCAGCATCACCTCCGCATGAGCCGGCTGCAGAGCAGGACCTGGCTGCTCTGCCCGATGCCGGACCCCAGGGAATCTGTGAGCCTCAGGGGCCGCTGGCTGAGGCAGGAGACCACCCCGAAATCTTCCCTTGTGCCTCTGCAGCCATCACACAATGCAACGGGTCGGGGAAAGCAACACCAACACCTACCCAAAACTACTCGCAGTATTTGTTCACCTTTTTCCCAAATTCTAGAGCTGACAATTTCTGAATGGAGCAGCCTGGCAAAAGAAATCAATCATCAGGCGAGGCCGTGGTGAGAAGGATGAACAGAAAGAAACAGAAAGATGAGAAAAACCAGACCACAACAGCAGGTGGACAGGTTGGCTGGGAACCTTCTGTAAAATATGTGTAAACAAGGATACGGATAAAAAATACAGACAGAGCCAAGACATGTGGTTTGTAAGGGAGCTGACTGCTCTCCCTCTTCCCCAGCCGGTCCCTCTTGACCTTGCTCATCCTCCTCCATCAGTCCCGCACGGGGTACGGCCAATTCCTGTCTTCGTAAAACTTCTTCAGGCCCTGGAGGTTGACGGGGGGGAAGTAAGGGCCGATCCTCTTCCGAATCCACCACCTCCCCTCGCTGGCATGCTTTCCCCCAGGTCGGCTGAATTTGTACTTGAAGTGTTCCCCTCGGATCCACCTGCAGAGAAACAAAGCACAGCCTGCTCAGGAGGGGCTGGTACCACTGCTGGGCAGAGGCAGAAAGGTGTCGGACCCTATTTACAGTCCCCTGGGAGTGGGATTTTTGAGCCTTTCCGTAGCTGGATGGAGAAATCAGCTCAAGGTTGCTCAGCCTGGCTAGCTCCCGCATCCCAGTGCTCCATCCATCCCTGGGGCGCCCGCAGCCGGAGGCAGCGATGCAGCCGACCCTGCTGGAGTGAAGCATTGGGGAGCTCCCAGGCTCCTCTTGATGCAATTTCGGAACGATACACAAGGCAGAGAAGCTTTAATACCCCCGCCCTGTGTGCTCCCCACCGCCGCCGCGCGCTCCACACACCTGTCTACAACCAAGTTTGAAAGAATAGTAATAAAAGCAGGAATTTTTTCTTTTTTTCCTTTTCTAGAGCAACTATGGAGTATTTCTGCCTGGGAGATTTTTAGGTACAGAGCCTGACTCCCGCCCCAGCTCCCCCAGCATCCCTCTGCCCCAGCCAGCCGCTGCTCCTTCTGCTCCGCAGCTTATTAGTGGGGCTACGAGTGCATCTGTTTTCTGGCCGCCCTGGGAGTTGACAGAAAAGGAGATTTTAAAACAGTGCAGAAAGAAGCATTCATCAGTGTCACGAAACACATTCGGAGGCTAACCATGCCGCTCAGTTCGGGAGGTTTGGTCCCGCTTGATGTAGGGCATGCTGACAAGAGAAGGAGTAACACCCTGGTCCTCCAGCGTTGTGGTCCCTGTTTGCAGAGTGCATCGCCGCATTTGCTGGATAAGTTCATAAAATAACCCACAATATAAAAATGTCAAAGTCATGTCAATGCTCATTTAAACCTGCTTTGCTTCACTACTAAAATACAAACCCTGCTACTGAGCAGGGCACCACGCTCCTGCAGCTGCTCGCTCCCAGGGCTGCACCTCGGGCAGCCGTTAAGTTCCTTCCTACTGCTAAAATAATTAGGGACGACTCCTATATATTTGCCATTAGCACCCACCTTTGTAACACCGGCACTCCGACGGGAAGCAGGGGAGATTGCAGATGACGGATGAAGCTGCACCCAGTTAAAAGGTCTACTGCAATCACATCTCGACATCTCAATTTAAATCTTGCTGGGTACCCAGATGAGCAATACAGAAACGATGCTCTCAACAAAACACGTTAACGCGGAGCTGTTCATCATGCCCATCGCTCGCTGCTGACTTGCAGCAACCGGCATTATCATCATCTGTTTTCTGCTTGTTTCCTGGCTGGAATGAAAACATGACAAGCATCTCCATGTTTCCCCCTCCGCTGAGGATGAAGAGGGGATCCAAGGAAGCCCAGAGTAATGCATTCGAAGCTGCACTGGGACAGCTCTAATTTAAACAAGGGGTAAGGGCTGGGTGCCAAGGGAAGCGTGGGGACGGAGGTGTCCCCCGATGCCGTACCGCTCCGCAGCAGAGCATCCCGGGCCGCCCCGGCACCCCACCTCGCTGCCCGCTGACGGGGGGGGCTGCAGGGAGGTACCAGCCCTCAAATACGGGAAAGTCAATGGGCAGAGGAGGGGGCAATGCCCCAGCCCTGGCTGGGGGCTCGGGGTGCACAGACCTGCTTCTTATCACCATAAATGCTGCCCTGCAGCTGCTGGTTTTGTTACAGTTGGGGCCATTTCTACACCCTCTCTCCCCGCCTCTTTTCTGAGGCTGGTAAAAGTCAAACGGGGGCTGAAGTGTTGTTACTCCCACAGTGTTTACTTCGCAGGAGCACAAAATTTCCTGTTAATAATTAGAGCGTTACTGAATGGCAATGTTCCTGCGGGTCCAGGTAGCCTGCAGGCTCCTGTCCGGGATGGTTAGAGATTTCCAAGCTGTGTTCCTTGATTGCTTACTTGAATTCAAAAAACATATCCCAAAAAAGCTTCAGTGGCTGATTGTATGTCAATCTCTCTGCTGCTCGAAGCCTCCCTCTGCCTGCCGTACCGGGGCTTTTGGGGTTTTTCTTCACTAAGTGATTGCAGAGCATCTACCAAGCTGGACCTGTCTCCATGTGCACCCACAATATGGGTATAACGGGGTGCCCCACGCTGAAGGAGCTATCTGCAAACCCCATCTGGTAAAGTTCCCATTTTCTAGAAGGGGATGCAGAGTGCAGAGAGAGCTCTTATCTGAGCTCCCAGGGCAGACCTAGGAGACCTCAGGAGATGCCAGGTCTCTGCTCACACACAGAAGCGCCTTCTCCCCAACCTCAAAGACTGTCCTATAACCCCTCTGGAATGAAAATTTCCTTGTCCCTTTCGAATGGGCTTGCCTGCCCAGATTAAATAATATCTATCATCTGATTTGGTATGATTTTTCCCATATGTTCTCTGTCTATTAAAATGTTTGCTATCAAAGGGATCGGCATGTAAAACTAGAACCGTGTGAGCATTAAAGCAACCACATGCAATTGAAGATGCATTTTTGTGGCATAAAGTTTGCCTTTCTATCTGACTATGTTTCAGGCTCTTCTGTTCAGAGCCTAAATCAATCTGAAGAATCCCCCCCAAGCCCCCCGACCTCTAAATTGAGCCACCTTCTCATCCCAGCCACGGTCACTCTGCTCCCCCCAGCCCGCTCCACCTGAGCCGTGAGCTGGAGTGTTGGGATGCACGGTCCACGTTAGGATAACAAGATCCATGGAGGAGGAACCCACCCAGCTCCGTGGGCTGTGGACTTTGTAAACTCCACAGAGCTGAGCTCTTCCAGGAGCTGAACCGCTCACCCAGCGGTGAGCTATAAAGCTCCGGCACACCGCAGCCCACGGCTCTTCACTGTCCTGCACCACCGGCGCTTTCCTGGGATTCAAGACTTGAAGGTTTCCATTCTGGTAAACAGAGGTACCAAAGAGCCTTTACAGGGCTGCAGCAGCCAACGTGTGCTGCAGGACGGAGAAACTGCAGCGGGAATACCTCCGAGCATCAGAATTCCTCTGAGCATCAAAATACGATGGCGGCATCCAGACCCTCTGCCAGCCGTCCTCTCCGTCCTTCCCGGGGTTAGGGGCTGTGGGAGAAACGCGGAAAACCTGGAACCCATGGGAATCTTGCCTTGCAAGGCTCACAGATGTAAAAGCTGCAGAGTTTAATACTCACCAGAGCCCCTCATTTCAGGGCTCATAGAGTTTACAAGCTACCCCCGTATTTATAATCTACCTGGGTGCCTCAGTCCTGAAGTTACAGGATTTGCAAACTCCTCCAGCACTGCCTCGCTGGACCCGCTCCCTCCTCTCGGGATTTGGGGAGCGAATGCGCTCCTGCACTAACAGGGCAGAAGCATTAACACCCCGGAGTCCATCATTTCAGGGCTCACAGAGTTTACAAGCATCACTTGGAGCCCTGGACAGCTTGTAACTCAGGCGAGACGCGCGCATGCGTGGTTGCCTGTAGATTAAGAAGCTGCTACAAGCTACAGATCACCTTATCAGCAGTTGCTTGTGATTTTTGCAACTCTGGGGCTCAGGCGGAGACCTTCTGGCTGGTGGAAGGGATCCACAGGTCTCTGAGCCTCCTCTGATGCAGGAAACCGCCGGCACGCGTGAACCTTGCTGGCTGCTCTGCAGAAATGGGAACATCTTCAAGAAGGTCATGGGGAGGCTATACCTGACTTCGTCTACGTTAAAAGGAGACTAAGACCACAGGTGGTCACCCATACTCGGAGAAGGATGAGCAAGACTCGTCTTTCAGAGGAGACAGTCAGAAATGTCAGGAAGGACAATCCCGGCTGCGAGCAGTTTCCCAGGATTTACTGAGCGAACGCAAGCTGGCAGCTCCTCCTGGCTCCCAGGGAAGCACCGGGCACCAGCTATTGCAGCCGGGCAGGGAAATGCTCCGGAGGAGCATCAGGCTGAACCAGCTGAGCCCAGGTTAGGTCCCTTAGAAGACACATGAGGGCAAAATAATCTCTTGAGGATCCAGGAAACAAGATACGGTCAGATAAAGCAAGTCAGATGTTTCTCCTGCAGGAGATGGAAAACCCTCTCTGCTGTAACAACAGGGACAAGGGACAGAAGGGCCCCTTTGGCAGCTTCTCCCGAACCCCACGGTGGTGCCCGGGAGGTGCTGGCAGAGCCACGGCGCTGATCCCAGTATGGAAGGCTGGAAGAGGGAGGACCACTGAGCTGCCCAGAAGGACCCACCGCTCCGGACGGGATGCCGGGACCCGCCTGCCACCACCCTTCTGGGCAAGAACCCGCTCTCCATCGCCACCCGGATCGGGCAAAGCCACAGCCTCGAGGAGGGCAGAAAGGCTAAAAATAATAAGCGTTATTTTTTAAATCAATATATTCATCCCGCCAGATGCCCAGTAGCAGCTGCGCTGTAGCACTTTTAAGATTTGATCATATATCAGCCTATTATGACATCTTCCAACTGTACGTGTTAAAAATTAGCAGCAATATTGGAGTTGTTGGGATGGAGGGCTAAATCTCCCAGACAGCTGTAATTAGTTCCAGAGGGTGCAGCTGTCTCCCTGCAACAGCTGAGGGGTTCGAGGGAAAAAACCAGAGCCGGTGGTTTCTGTTAGAATTAATGGCCTGACAGGGCAAGGCGGGGTGGGAGAGGGAAGAAAGAAACCAAAACACGGGGCGTCTTTTCGATTTGGGGTTTTTTTTTTGTTGTTGGTTTTTTTTTATCACGAGGTTCCCCACTCCATTGTAAATCAGGGAGCAAGTGGCAGTGGAAAGTACAAATTCATTACAGTAACAGAGACTCCATCATCGGTTTTCTTGCTTATTCTAGCCCCGTTAGCAGGAGGGATCATAAATTCATCTTGGCCCAAGTTTGCAGAATAAGGGCAGTTTTATGGGTTGTTTTTCAACGCTGCTGACTTCCCTTTCTCCAAGGCTCCTGCAAGGTCTGGCCCTGCAGAGCCAGAGCATCCTCAAAACTCTTTCGGGAGATGGGAAAGTGGGTTTATTCCCCCACGGACAGGTTAGAAAGGGAGGCTCAGAGGCTGCATCTACACCCAGG